CCAGCAGACCTGGTTTCAATCCCAATCGGTGCCACCGGGATGTTCTGAGACATAACATTTATGATCACGGGAAGGGAAGTAAAGCCGTTGGTCCCCGGTTCATGAGTTGATGGGTCGATAGGTAGGGTCCAGCTGTGAGAGCTGCCTCCCTTGCGTCGGTAGCATTGGTGCTCAGCACGGAAAACTGAACTGTTGTCCGAGTTCAAATTACATGAAAAATGTTTTAACATGAGGGGTTCCCTTAGCTCAGTCAGTTAAGGCGCAGCTACAAATCAAGACCATACTGGAGGTGGCTGGGTTCGATTCTCGGTTCGGTCTAGGAATTTTTTGGGTTGGAAAATTTCTCGTCTTCCCTGGGCATAGAAGTATGATCTAATCTGCCCGTAAATGAGAAATTGGCTAATGTGCCTGAAACACGAAATGGAGAAAAATGCAACTGTAACATTTTTGTTGGTTGAATAAGGTTTACTAGATAAAATTAACTTTTTAAATGTTCTTAACTATAACTATTGCGGAAACATGCCGTTGAATAAAAACGACGAAAAATTTAGCCAATGTTGAAGGAAATTGGCTAAAATTTTCATCGTTTTTATTCATTAATTATTAATCACATAAACCATTTTTTCATTAACAAAGCCGGGAAAATTTGTCAAATGGTAATCTGTTTCGGCTTACGTGCATACATTCTCATTTATTATGTGAACTCCTGCTAGATATGGCTTCACATTATTTTAATAATACGGAACCTGTTGTGAAAGTGTTCAGATACCATCAGAAAGATCACAGAACGGTTGTGCAACATTGGCCCATATTACGAGTGTCACTTCCCGTTCACAAAATGAGTCAAACTTACTCGCAAGCAATGTATAATTTAAAAAAAAATGTGCCGTTGTTGCCTCCTGCCAAAAAATGTATTGGTATAACCTTACAACCCACGATTACAAATCTGATGAAGCATCATAATCTTGATATTTATATATATATTCTGAGATATTTTCCATATACATTTCCCTTCCACTTTCCATTTATTATGCATGAATAAAGCTGTTTTAAATATAGTTGAAGATGCTAAATTCAAATAACAGACTGTAGTGGTAATTTTTATACGATAGATGGAGTAGATGAAAGCATAGAGTTGATCGTTCCGTTAGAGTACGGCAGTGTGAAGATTGCATATAGATATTAGAATAGAGAGCTAGGACAACTTTTAAGGAAGGTACAAATCGGTTTTTTTTTATCTCTCTTTACCAAACTCCCCCTTTGGAGAGTTCATCTACTCCATCTATCGTATAAAAATTACCACTACAGTCTGTTATTTGAAATTAGCATCTTCAACTATGTAAATCGTTGACTTCACGTAGAAGTAATACTAAAACATATAGTCAAAGTGTTTTAAATAAATAAAAACATCCATTCCATAATACATTTCAATAAAAACTCTTGCGATAAGTTGCAAAAACTGTGACCACTTGACTATAAGACCATCTAACTTGATGATCAAAAGATTCCCTATTAAAAACACACTGGTTGCTGTGATTGGTTTCAGACTCTTCACGCACATTAGACAATATATTATTTATATTGCACATTAGCCATCTTGTTTTTCAAGACGTTATCCTCGCAAATCATTTTCTTTTGGCAATTTTATGCAGTGGGGACTTGACAATAGTGCCATCTATCAAGTAACAGTATTTTCTCGATTTTGATGAAAATGGCATAATAGCCATTTTATCATGTATGGGCAGTAATAATGGTACAGGCATCGAAAGCTCTCAATTAATAACTGTGGAAGTACATCTAGAAAACAAAGTTGAGAGCACGCAATAAGCTAATAGGGTTTTTGATCTAATTTCCGTCCTACTAAGCACAACAACCCGCACTTTACCTTTCTTTTCTGAACGAGTTTTTTCAAAAAATTTAATATTTCTGTCAAAGATGATTTGCAAATTTATACACCTTTCCATTCGTACCGTTGGATTTGATAAAGAGTCACAAATTGTTGAGATATTGTCTAAAATCTAACACTATTTCTTGATTCTAAATTCGTTCTACGAGTTTTAATTCCGTCCTAATGCATTGAAACGCCATTAGATTTTTTTCGTCCTACGGATAAACGTAGAAAAAGGGGATTCGCTAGGAGCGCTTCTTTTGTTTTGATAACAATGAGCGTAAATATTCATACAATGCGCTCTAACAGGAGTTATGTTGTAGCTAATGAACTAACGCATCGGAACAAACCTATTATTGATTTGTGCACGGTGAAATCATTGATATTATTGATCTTTTCTGATCGATAGAACGGAAATGGGCGATTACGACGAAGTAGCGCTCTACCCTATGCGAAACGCAACAAGCTTGCAATGTGAAAAAAATAAGAAGACGTTTTAACATGATGTTCCAAAATATGGATATATATCTATTTTTAAGTTTCCATGGTTTTGAACATTTAAAAAGTATACATTTTTTAATAAGCTTTTCTAAAATTAAATTTAACTAACATTAATTTACAGCATATTTGAACTTTGTACGATGGTAGTCATTTCCCATGTAAAATCGTGCGCGGAATCAAAATAATATACGTAGTTGAAGATGCTAATTTCAAATAACATACTGAAGTGGTAATTTTTATACGATAGATTGGGAGATGAAAGTATAGAATTGATAGTTCCGTTAAAGTACGGCAGTGTGAAAATTGCATATAGAGAGTAGAAACCGAGCAAGGACAACTTTAGGAAGGTTTGTGGGGGGTATTTCCCCTGCCACTACTGGCAACAAGAGATGATCGCAGACTCGCTCATGTACCGACGATGTGTTTGAAACAGTTCTATCGACTTTTACCGCACTCAAGTTGCTATCTGAAGGAAGGCATCCAGTAAAGGGTGATACGGTCAAAATTTGGTCAATATCAACTTGACGTATTTCTTTCAATTTTGCATTTAAAAAACCTGAACACCCCTCATTTTGAAGGTGTGTGTGTGTAGAATGTTGCTCCTATTTTGATTTTGGAATTCACTCTTCAGTTGTCAATATGCCGTCCAAGCAAGAAGAGCAGCGTATCAAAATTTTGCTCGCGCATCGCGAAAATCCGAGCTACTCGCACGCAAAGTTGGCAAAATCGCTAAAAGTTGCCAAATCAACCGTTACAAATGTAATTAAAGTGTTTTTAAATAAACGATTTCACCGATTTACACGCGTTTTCCCTTGACCAAATTTTGACCGTATCACCCTTTAGTAGGTTTGGAAATTTCAGCTATTGTTACCTCTACCACGGTATTTCCAAACCTACGACTGGATGCCTTACTTCAGATAGCAACTTTAGTGCGGTAAAAATCGATAGAACTGTTTCAAACACAGCTTCGGTACATGGGGGGGGGGGGTACCCCTAACCATCCCTCTCCAACAGGGAGTTTGGTAAAGAGAGATGATCAAACCGATTTGTACCTTCCTAAAGTTGTCCTTGCTCGCTTTCTACTCTCTATATGCAATTTTCACACTGCCGTACTTTAACGGAACTATCAACTCTAGACTTTCATCTCCTCATCTATCGTATAAAAATTACCACTTTAGTCTGTTATTTGAAATTAGCATCTTCAACTATGTAAATCGTTGACTTCACGCAGAAGTAATACTAAACATATCGTCAAAGTGCAAACAATGTAGTTTAAAAAAATCCTCATTAGGTTAGTTTTCTAGAGTTTAAAAAAGTTTGTTTTTAAATATAAATATCTCCGGCTGTAATGAAGCAATATCAATTATTTTATTGCCAAATTGAAGGTAAGAATATTTTCTTTCGATCAAATGGGAATTATTTTTCAGATAAATTAGTACACTACGATCACTACAAAAAATTCCTTGCTCAAAAACTTATCTGAAATCCAACTTTTCATGGAAATACGCAAAAAAAAATAAATAAAAAAAAAATAATACTTACATAATGTTTTATGAATAAAAAAAAATTACCATTTGGCATTTAAATAATGGATAAAGCTTTATTGCAGCTTTATTGCAGCTGGAGATATTTATATTTTAAAAAACAAACAAAGTGAAATATCGTGTTTAAGCTGTATCTAGAAAACTTACCTACTGAGTTTTTTTTTACCATATTTTTTGGTTTAGCGCACGATTTGCATAAGGATCATAGCGTCAAACATTACAGTTCATTTTTTTACTTTTATTTGTATACTAGAGTAATCGAAAAACTAGTGTAAGCGAACAAGGTCTTTTTGAAATATTTAAGTTTATAACACTTTTTGGATTGTTCTTAAAATTACAATTGGTTGTGTAGTTTTACTAGAAAGACATTCCTTTTCACTACAACTTTGATTTTTGTTTTCAATTTAATGGTCACCATTTTGAAAATTTTACAAGATCTAAAACGGCCGAACTTTGGCAATAATGTGAATCTTTATCCATAATGAACAATATAAAAAGTTTCATGTAACTTAGAGAAGGTCATGTTTTCCCGATTCGTCAATTGGGATGGATCTGCTCATTTGCTGTATTTTGTCATGTTTTCACATTTCCATTTCTCTTGAATTTGTGCCAAACAGACCATTACAAAGATATGCTTGTTGATCGCTTTCATTGGTTTTGGACAGTTAGAAACAATGTTAGAAATCCCCATACAAACTTCCAATATTTTGCATGACTCCAAAGCCTTTATCAATCTATTCAAATTCGTTCAATCTGGAGAGAAGCCTAAATGATTTGAAATACTATTTTTAACATAATGCACCCCAACGACACCTGAAGTTGTGTCGTAATCTGAGTGAATTATTCGCTGATTGCAATTTTTCCTATTCGTCCATAAAGTTTTGTTTCTTGACTAAAGATGAGCAACGACACGTTCTGCCATCTCAATAACAATATTTCAGACCCGGGTGGTTTCAGTCTCCTCACGAATGAACCCAATTATTTGAATTTATTCTTCAGTTATATAAAACCAATTTCGTCATCGTCCCGTTCTAATACTACCATTAATAATTTCCTTCATCACAAAGTTCTTGCACTTGCACCATTTGCAGATGATGTGGTACCAAGACTCGTTTCTGCTGCATCCGAACGACCGCCGAACCATGGACACCCGAGGAGACAAGCACTATCTAACGATACGGAATGTGCGCCAGTCTGATTTTGGCAATTACAGGTAAGCTCTGCTCTACAGAACCTTCTCGTTCTGGTGCATGATGTTTCATCATTACTAACGAAAATTCCTTTCCCTCCAGCTGCGTGGCGGAGAATTCCCTGGGACGTGCCAAAAAGTACATCGAAATGTCCGGCCGGCCGGGCCCGGCTCAGTTCCACTCGCCCATGTACAGCCGCTACCGGGAACAGTACAACCTGACCTGGAGCATCGAGTCCTTTCCGCCAATCGAGGAAATTCGATTACTTTACCGAAAGTTGATGGTGAGTTCAAGGTCTCATTGGCGATTAATCGACTGGTCATAGTGAGCGACCATGACGAAGCATTATAATAAATACCAGTGCATGTATCCGACAATATTGTTGTTCGATGAAGTAGATTGATTAGCATCATGTTGGTTCGTGTGTCGTTTTTATCTGTTGTTGATTCAAGCTATACGACTGCCATGGGCTTGGAGCATTATGTCGAACTTCATTCCATCAGACTCGTCGGGACAACAGACTGACAGCCAAAATTACATTTCAACTTTGCTCGTTATTTATTCATACTTGGGATAAACAAAGTTCCATCCACCGCGCTCGAGTTGCTTTGCAAGAGTTTCCCCCCGAAATTCCCACGCGGACCAAAACGATTCTATCATTTTACCAAGCACGGAACGCTCTGCCTCCCTTCACCTCGGCCAGCCATAGAACCCAGCAGAGTTTTGAATGTAATTATTCGAATGGGGGGCCTTCTGCCGTGTTTCTGTTGTTTCTGAGAAGGCTTTGTGCCACGAGCGACCGAGGCGTGATTCCCGATTGGGGAAACTTTTTAATTTCATCGAATTTTGCACGAAATCGTGTGCCGAGTTTATTTTTGATGCGAGGGTCGTGGACGGACTTTCTTTTTGTTTCGATTCAAAGCGACTACGTACAAGGCGACAGATTGTAATTAGAACGAACACCACGACGACGGCACAGTGCGTGAGAACGTATGTTGAATTATGCAAATCGTTCCCCAGTGTTGATCTTCCCGAGGAGGGGGAGTGATTTTGAAATTGAATTTGTTTGATTCTCAAATTCAAGGAATTAACTTTCATGCAAACCAATAGTTAGGCGCTACCGATATTCAGATTAAAATCCACCAAAATACGACCGACGTCAAACTAATCCTCCAGATTCATTTCCCGTACTCATTTGTGTGTGTATTTCTCACTCTCTTTTCCCAACATGCTACAAAACAACTCACGCCGCAGATGAACGAGTCTTATCAGCATCCGGGCAGATGGCACGACGTCATCCTGAACCCACCGTCAACCCGGGCCGAGTCCTACCGGCACATCATGACGTACACCATCCGGAATCTGGACCCGAACTCGGTGTACGAGACGATCGTGCAGGCGAAAAATCGATACGGCTGGAATGAGGTAAGAAGCGCTGGCTGGTTGTTACGTCCACTACCTGCTGACCGTCGTCGTAGCCGGTCGGTTGGCAAATGAGAAGAGGGATAAGTGTTAATTTTCAATGAAATCATTTCCGGATTGGTCCTGCGGCTGTCTGCGTGAATGTTTTGGATTTTAATCCTTTTGCGTCAGCTGGCGAAGGCGAGAAGCGTCTGGATAATGATCCGATTAGAATGGCGTGTCGGAATTGAAACATTTTCAATTCATGTGCAGAATGGTGATTCTCGTTCTTTAGTGATTAATTTACATTTTTAAAAGGTGAAATTTTGATTCTGATTTAATCTGGTGGAATAGTGAAGGTCTCTTTGAATTTCAAATTCGACGAATGGCTCAAAGGGAACAGTTATCTGCATAGCACAGTTGAATCGGAAATGATGAATCGGAAAAACTCGACCTTCTCCGATTTGCATGAAACGTTGCATAGTTGTTTGGGAAACACACTACTACAAAAAGTCATGCAAAATTCGGTACCCTAAAACCGGCACATGCAAGCGGCCCTTATGATATAAGAATCAGTTGAAAGAAACGAGAAAATCAATTCAGTCAATCGTACTTTTCGTCGAGTTGCGTCTGTTTCTGTTTCGGTAGCCTTAATTTTACATGACAGGTTTGTTTACGTTCCATGATGTACGTCAAAGGTGAATTACGTCACGAAATTCAGCCCTTTTGAATCTTCAAGTGATTATTTTTTTATTTTTCAAAAAATGGCAGCACGGAAACCGCCATTTTAATCCAAATAACTTCTGAGGCATAAAAATCTAAAAAATTCAAATTTTGTTTGTTCGAATTTTTTTTTTTAATTTCATGAAAAATGCGACCTTCTTGAACCTTTAAAATAACGGACATTTTTTTTTATCTAACTTATTTATTTGGAAGGCTCAATTGCATAAGCTTTACGGATCCGATAATTCATTGTTGATTGTTTGTAACAACATTCACTTATTTCTATGTTTAGTAGGAGTTAAGCCTCCTCGAGGCTTACCCGAGGTTAGAAGGGCACATTGTCGAAGAATAGGATCATGGGAGGAGCTTGGGGTGTGGTTTCGCTGTCTCTGAAATTCCTTAAAACTTTTTTAAGCATTTCCCAACAAACAATCGTCTATTGAAGAAACGACTTCTTGGCCATTTTATTCAACTGCATGCTTAATAGTACTTGCACTATTTTTAATAATAACTTCTGTTCAGGCTTTGTTCACACAAATCTGGAGAATTTATTCATTTATTCAACATTTAACTACTGGTGTTGTATAAGGTATGTTGAGAAGCTTTTATTCGACTTATGTGAGTTGAAACAGAGCTAATACGATAAAATTTTTGGTTATTCAGCGTTTATTAGACATCACTGCTTCCTTAAAGCAGTGATACTCTGTATACGCTTGATTATCATGTGAAGTAACCTTGAATAAGACATTATTATACATTTATTAAACGATTATTCAACTGTGGGAAAATTAACCCGAAAATAAGAGGGGCGGGGGGACAACAGGGAAGGGTGTGTTTCTTAAGCGTATTGTATTTCATTATTTCTGACGTGGCTCGCAACACACAGATATTAGGAAATTTATTAAATACTTATACATGTCGTTGTATGGGGATTCGAACCATGTACCTTCCCATCACCAGCCGCTTGCCTTTTCATCTGAGCTATCCTAGAATTCATCATATTGGCAACTCAATCTATAAAAGCTTGCATGAAAGTAAATACCTATCAGCACTCCCGATCGCAAATCTAGCTCCTTCAAGGCCCTGTGGGAATGATTAATTCATTCATCGTTGTTTTAAATGAGATCAATGTTGCCTCTTCACATCTCCAAGTCGAAAGAAAGGATGCTCGGTTATATTTTAAACTAGATCAATGCATTCATTATCGTGAGTCATGTGATCGATGATTACTATTTAAACAGCCCAAGGCTGAATGTCTCGTTAATAAAGGAAACTAAACGAAAACTAAGCTACTATTTAAATTAATTATGTTCTACACAAATAAAAAAAGGGTTGAGCTTGGGATTGAATTCACGACCTTCTAATTGGAAAGAGGAAACGGTAACCACTACTCTACTGATTTCGCCTTGTTGTAAGACTGAATCAGTGTTGTCGAATAATGAATCTAATACATCGTTTATAAAGCATTTATAAATCATGTGATTACAACATGGACGCATAGTGGTATAAGAGCTATTATGCTGAGTGTTTTCACCTTTATTCAGCAATATTGTAAAGTAATGCAATGAAATCTAATAAAGGAGCTGGAGAACATTTATTAGACGTCTAACAGAGCATGCTATTAAATCAATTGAAAACAGTCGAAACAATGTATGTACAAATTACACTTATTCAATGAGAGTATCCAGTTCCGTGAGTTCAAAGATTCACGAAGCTTGAAAATCACCCAATTGACGAATGCTGCCCCTATGGAGTGACAGCTTACACTTCCAGAAATTCAACCGAGACGCACCGTAGAAAGCCTGATGGATGCTCCCAATCGCCCCAACCCAGTCCGGCATATCGCAGCCGTCTCGGTGCTGTGGTTGGTGGTGGAAAGGGAGTCTTCCACCATGCTTGCACAGGCAAGTACTGTTTTGATTCGAGCTTTTCGTTGCGTGACGAGTTTTCCCGCACCCAGGTTATCTTTAGCTGTCCGGACCATGATGAAGTGAATCCTGTTGCTGCTGCACTTCGGACAAATAGATGCATCGCAGGAACGAACGATGAGTATTTTCAACCGGGACGCACCGTAGAAAGCACTTGGGAAGTCCTCGGTTCCTCTAACTCAGTCGTGCCGATTCCTGCCAGCGTACATCAATGTCGTCCCGGCCCTGAGCTTAGATGTGGATCGGGGGTCTTCCAACTTGCTATGTCAGGCAAGTACAAATATTATTCTGAACATTCGCTGCCTGATGCCGAGTTGAATTTCAGCACTCTGGATGTCACCGATCGAGGAAATGCTTCTACTCCTGATAATTGGAACCTGGGACGCGCTGTAGAAAGCATTATGGAAGCCCTCAATCCCTCTGACCCAGTCCTGCCATCTGCCGCCTCCGATCTTCATAGTCGTTCCGGGCCTGTGGTTGGATGTGGAGAGGGGGTCTTCCAACCTACTCACTACGGCGAGTATTCACTTGAGATTGTTCATGTCCATTCGCCACCTGATATTTCCATGACTTCCAGGGAAAACGCCTTACCTCGTGCGACCACCGACCGTAGTAAACACGACGTCATTTTCTACTACCAAAACGTAGGCGGAATGAATTCTGGTGTTCTTGACTACCACCTAGCTGTATCGGACCGGTGCTACGATGTCATCGTTTTTGTCGAGACTTGGCTCGATTCTCGAACGCTTTCCATCCAGGTGTTCGGATCCGAATACGAGGTTTTCCGCTGTGACAGAAATCCGAAAAACAGTCGGAAATCTACTGGAGGTGATGTTCTCGTGGCAGTTCGTTCCGGGTTAAAGGCGAGAGCTATTGAAAACGTCTTGTGGAACTGTGTGGAACAAGTTTGGGTGGCCGTAGAACTGAGCGATCGCACACTGTACATATGTGCGATGTATATTGCACCTGACCGGGTTCGTGACAACGAACTGCCGGTCCGTTTTCACCATAATGGAGAGTGCGACACCAACTGATGAGATAATCGTTCTGGGTGACTTCAATCTACCCGGTGTTTCCTGGAAACCATCTTACAGCGGCTTTCTCTACCCAGACCCTGTACACTCTGTATTTCATACAGGATCAGTTAGCCTTCTCGACTGCTATAGTACAGCAACACTATCTCAAATAAACCACGTAGTCAACGAAAACAACCGTAGCCTGGACCTCTGCTTCGTTAGCGTTCAGGACACCGCTCCTTTCATCTCCACGGCACCTTCTCCACTAGTAAAGCAAGTACATCATCACCCTCCCTTGGTTGTCACTGTTGCTGACAATCACGATCGGGTCTTTGACGACATTTCCACGACCGTGTCATACGATTTCCGGAAAGCCGATCACCGTAGTATCGTCAACGTGCTATCTAGTATAGATTGGGAGAGCATCCTCGATCCTGATAATGTTGAAACCGCTGCGCAAACATTTTCACATGTCTTGGCTTATGTCATTGACAGGCACGTTCCGAAAAGATTTCACCGTAAAATTTCTCATCCTCCCTGGCAGACGAGTGAACTGCGTAGGTTGAAGTCGACCAAGAGAGCCGCATTAAGAAAATTCACTAAGTATCGTACGCTTTCGCTGAAACGTCACTACGTTAGGCTCAATTATGAGTTCAAGCGAGTTAGCCGTCGATGCTATTCGCGATATCAACGAGGGATTCAGAGGAAACTCAAGTCGCAGCCGAAGTCATTCTGGAATTACGTAAATGAGCAGCGCAAGGAATCCGGCCTACCTTCTTCAATGGTGTTGAATGGAGCAGTTGCTTCCACTCCTCAGCAGATCTGTCGCTTGTTTTCTGAGAAGTTCGCCAGTGTTTTCACGAACGAGAGATTAACTGACGAACACGTTACCCTAGCAGCTAGTATGTTCCACTGTACGGTCAAACACTGGGTGCGATGGATGTCAACGTCGAGATGATTTCCACTGCCGCATCACAACTCAAGTCGTCCTTCAATCCAGGACCCGATGGCGTTCCATCCGTATTCCTGAAAAAGCATATCGCCAGCTTGCTGATGCCCATGCTTCACCTATTTCGATTGTCCATCTCGAGTGGTACATTTCCATCTTGTTGGAAATTCGCACATATGTTTCCTATCCACAAAAAGGGCAGCAAACGGGATGTGGACAATTATCGTGGAATTACGTCGTTGTGCGCAGTTTCGAAGTTATTCGAGTTAGTCATCATGGAGCCTCTACTCTCTCATTGTAAGCAGTATCTAAGTGGTGATCAACACGGCTTCACTTCCGGTCGTTCTACTTCCACAAATCTGCTGTGTTTGACATCGTATCTTACGGAAAGCATGGCAGAGAGGACTC